GTGCTTTATACAAGGAAATACTATTTAGCCACCTTGTAAAAAAGGCAATCCTGCAATGTGGGATGACATCGATCACCTGAACGTCATTATGCTGAATAAAGTAAGCTAGAAACAGAAAGACAAACACTTCATGCTTCCACTTACATGATGTATCTAAAATAGACAAATTTGTAGACCAAAAGGTAATGGTGTTGTAAGAAGCTGGGGAAAGGGAGAAATGGGCAGTTACTATTCAGTGGGCATAAAGTTTTAGTTAAGCAAGATGAATAAACTCTAGAAATCTGCTGTGTAACATTGTGCGTATCATCAATGATAAAGCAATTTACAATTAAAAAAATCTGTTGAGTGTGGATCTCAATAAAAGAAAACTTTTTAAAAAAGAATCCCATCATGAGATGTGAAATAATCTCTGACTTAACTTTGTACAGAGTATCTTATTGCTATTGCTCTGTAGAAATTATAAGCTTGAAGCTGCCCACAGCTATGCTTTTCTTTCTCTTTTTTGTTAAAATGGTGAAAAGGTATACATATATTTAGAAGTAGCCAGCTGGACTCAGTTTAGATGATCCCAATTTTGTTGGCAATATCCAAAGCATTGTCATCAGGAGCCAGTCAAACCCATGCCTTCCTCTCTCCATCAGGCCGAATCAGGGTGTTGACCTTGGCCACATCAATGTCACAGAGCTTCTTCACAGCCTGTTTGATCTGGTGCTTGTTGACTTTAATATCCACAGTGAACACAAGTGTATTGTCTTTTATCTTCCTCATGGCAGACTCAGTGGTCAGCGGAAACGTGATGATAGCATGGTGGTCCAGTTTGTTTCTCCTGGGGGTGCTCTTCCAAGGATATTTGGGCTGCCTCCGGAGTCACAGTGTCTTGGGCTGCCAGAAGGTGGGTGACATGCGGATCTTCTTTATTTTGTGGCTGTGGACACCTTTCAACACTGCCTTCTTGGCCTTGAAAGCCTTCGCTTTGGCTTCGGTTTTAGGAGGGGCAGGAGCTTCCTTCTTCACTTTCAGCAACATCTTGTGAAAAGGCCTTTTTTTTTTTTTTTTGAGATGGAGTATCACTCTGTTGTCCAGGCTAGAGTGCAGTGGCATGATCTCACTGCAACCTCTGCCTCTGGGTTCAAGTGATTCTCCTGCCTCAGCCTCCAGAGTAGCTGGGATTATAGGTGTCTACTACCACACCTGGCTAATTTTTGTATTTTCAGTAGAGATGGGGTTTCGCAATGTTGGCCAGGCTGGTCTTGAACTCCTGACCTCAAGTCATCCAACCACCTTGGCCTCCAAAAGTCCTGGGATTATAGGGTTGAGCCACTGCACCTGGCCTTTGCTTTTCTATTTTCATTATGACTGCATCATTTTGTCCAAAGGTTCAGCCTGCTCCAGTTAGATACTATATGAAATAATAGCTTTAAAATTACGTATTAGATGAAGGAGCTTAATTAAAACATAGAAACAGTCTTTTAAAAAAAAAGTGGTAATAATATATCATAACAAAGCAATGTGCTACACAGCAAGCAGAATGTTTATATTCTTCCTTTGGGGGCAAAAGCAGTAGGAAAATAGAAGTACAAGAAGCAGGTCCAAATCCCCACTGCCTTTGGTGAATTTATGTAACTTTTTTCTGGAAAAATCTCTCCACTTTTAATATAGAATTAAAATAGATTCAAGAAATTCAGAATTTGAACATAACTAATTAACCTAATATAATACAGCTCTCAGAGTTCAAAGAAGATATTCTCTAACAGTTTCAAAACAATATGGGTCGAATTTTAAGTGATCTTTTATTGAATAATTGGTATATTTATACATAACACTGGAGATTTGAACAAAAAGCATCAATGTAAATCAAATACTAACTATATTTAATTAACTCTAATCAATATATAATGGGAAAATGTATTCTTTCATTTCTATCAAGTGAGATATGAGATTAAAGTTCTATCATAATGTGCTAAATATAAATTAAAGACTACTATTTTTCCAGGTTTATTTTTTAATAAGAGGAATCAAAAAGGCACTATAGAGGTGGTTTTTTAAAAGCTATAAATTTTTGAAAAGCCACAAATAATTACACACTTTTTCTCCATTCCCAAGAATACACATATACTTATGTTTTGCAAATACAACTGACATTTCATATTGTGCCTTCATAGTTTTATCTTAACTCTATTTTCTTTTCTTTTTTGGGGGGGGGGAGGAGGGAACGGATTTTTGCTCTTGTTGCCCAGGCTGGAGTGCAATGGCACGATCTTGGCTAACCGCAACCTCAGCTTCCCAGGTTCAAGTGATTCTCCTGCTTAGCCTCCTGAGTAGCTGGGATTACAGGCATGCACCACTACACCTGGATAATTTTGTATTTTTAGTAGAGACAGGGTTTCTCCATGTTGGTCAAACTGGTCTTGAACTCCCAACCTCAGGTGATCCGCCCAGCTCAGCTTCCCAAAGTGTTGGGATTACAAGTGTGAGCCACTGCACCCAGCTTCTGAACTCCATTTTCTTAGAGCGGGATGGAAGGGTTCATTGTGCTTCACCACAAGAATCCACCAAAATTCTGATGCTTTGAATTGCCCCTATTATCTGATCCATATTGGTCTTCCTAAAGCTCATCAAAGAAGTCTGGTTCTAAAACAATATTCCTCATTCATTATTCTGACCATAACCAAGTATTCTTCTAGATTGGAGAAGGTCTAAATATGTACTTTTATTTGTTCAGAAAGTTCTTCATACTATAATCCAATTTCAGATACATGAGTAGAATGATCCATAGTCTAATATTCACTAGGGTAATGCTACTTAAATTTGCTCAGTTGATGGAATCACTGATGGTTAAGGTTGGGTTGGACTTATTTGATCAAGTCTCACTCTGTCACCCTGGCTGGAGTGCAGTGGTGTGATCTGGGTTTACTGCAACCTCCACCTCCCAGATTCAAGTGATTCTCCTGTCTCAGCCTCCCAAGTAGCTGGGACTACAGGTGCATGCCACCACGACTGGGTAAGCTTTTGTATTTTTCAGTAGAGACAGGGTTTCACCTTGTTAGCCAGGATGGTCTTGATCTCACCTCATGATCCACCTGCCTCGGCCTCCCAAAGTGCTAGGATAACAGGTATGAGTCACTATGCCTGGCCTATTTTATTTTTTATTTTTTAAAAATGTAATGATGACTAATTTTAACATATGAGCTTGAATATTTGATTTCTAGATGACATAACCATAATACATACTTTTAAAATCACATCCTCCCACTAACTTCAGTAAAGTCAGGTTCTCTATGCTCTGTTGGGACTTATTACAATATTATTCACTATGTGTTTTTATAAAAAAAATTAAACATGTATGACTTTTTCTGTTTTTTTTTTTCAAATTTTATGATGTATGAATAAATCTTACTAAAACCAAAAAAAAAGGAATCTGATTAAAATATTTCAGTCTAGCTCAAAACTTACAGAAAATACAGGAAAGAAGAACATGGTTAATGACATTACAGCAAATTCCAGAATGAGGGAAACAATAAAGGACAAATAACCCAGTTCCATCAATAAATAAGTTGCAAAAGATTAACTGAAAGTGGACCAATAGATTAAAAAGGACTTTAAAAACATGTCCATCGAACGCCATCTTCATTCAAACAAATTAACAGTAAAAACAAAAAATGAGACAATCGGAAGTTTGCAGACATAGAATTTGATAATACTAGGAAAGTTCTGTAAATATTTGTAGGAGCCATCATGCTACTGAGGTTTAAAAAACAGTGCTTTCTTTTAAAGATGCATACTGAAATATTTATTGATGTATGCATATTATATGATGCACGAGTTCACTTCAAAATAATCCATGGAGTTAGGAATGAGCGAAAGGTGGTATAAATGAAACCAGGTTGGCCATAAATTGATATATGTTAAGTCATTAAACCTATATGTGTGATAAGCACATAGAGGTTCATTATGCTATTCTCTCTAATTTGCATATATTTGGAATTTTCATAACAGAAACTTTTTAGAAACAAAACTATTGTTTGCTATGAACAGAAAGCCAAAATAAAAAGTAGCAAAGAAATACATGGAATAATTCATTGAAAACAGAGAAAACTCAACTGATTCAGTAATATTTGGACAATGGAGAGGACTCTGCCCAGGACTTGGCTGGTGTTCCACACATTATGCTGATCTAGAACAGAGAGCCCGCAAGAAGCAGAAGGGATTAAAAACTTCAAAACGAATGTATCTGAATTATGTACTAATAGAAGCATGAGAAAAATATCAACATTAACTAGAAAGTAAAGAAAAAAAAGCCTTCTTTTTAACTTTATTTCATGGACCAAACACTAAGTCATACCTTCTGTAGATGTGCAGAAAGCTTTATAGATTGAAGGGAATGGGTGAAGGAGGTTTGAAAGTAAACAGCGGAAACAGCACTTCTGTAGTGTTAAAGCACCGTACCAAAAACTGAGTGTTTAAACCTAAACTGTGTATTAATGTCTTCCAAGGTCCATGTACTTTTTTTCATTAATTTCTCTTGGATGTTCATTTTGGAATCCAGTTACCCAAACTGATGTCAATATTTTTGCCTTTTACCAGTTTTGCACAACTGGGCTGCAACAGTATCCTATGTGACAAAATAATATAAGATATCCATATTACTACTTCTGTGTGTTTGCCTTGAGGCTTGATTTGAAAATTTTACCCTTCCGTTGACCCATCCCTGGTCTTAAGTTGGAATTATAGTCAACTTGAACCTACTATTCAATCAATAATTGAGCTATTCTTCTAAGATGCATTCTGTTTAACACTGAAGGAAACTAACACAGCTTGACCCTTGTGAAGTGTTGTGAAGAGCTGCAGTCAAGTGGAGACTTCTTTTATTCTAGTTGGAGTATTTTGCTGCTATCTTTACCTTGAGCTGGGCAGAATTGTGAATAGCTACAAAAAATTTCCTTTATCTCTGTTGCTTCAACGTTAAGAGGCCTTACTGACACAATGACATTAAAATTGGATTGAGTCTGTAGCTAAACATTTAATTTTGATGCTTGCAATAACTTAAACTAAGATGATAATAGCTACCATTTACTGAGTATGTATTTTAACCAAGCACTGAACTTGAGAGCTTTCTATAGAGCATTATATTTACATACTTTTTCATTATTTATTGGCATTCCAAAAGACTATCCAGCCAATTGCTCCTATCAAGTCCACTACTCTTTCCTGCAGACTCTGCAATGGCAGAGCTATTGTAGCTTTTAAATATGTATTCAGCAGTGGGCTGGAACCAGCTCATACTGATTCAAGAGACTGTCTTTTCCCAACTCTACATTAAGTGACATCATACTGGTAGTTTCAGATGGCTAGGATGGGAGAATTTACACTACAGAAATCAGTAAGAGAGCCAGTTGCTAAACACATACCAACATACCGCTGTATGCAATCTTCATTCATTCTTCAAGAAGAAATTTTGTCATTGGGAGTATTTGACATGGCCCAGTTGTTATTGCTACGTTAGAGACAGTTTATAGTTAAGGCCTGATTCAGTTTAAAGAGATATCAAGCAAGAAATCAGGCTCAATAGTCACGTCACAGGTAGGTCTTCCGCCCTCCAGCTATCCCTGAATTTGTTTCATTTTATGAAAGAACCAAGTGAGGGAGCCATGGTCCTATGGGCATTCTGTCAATAACTTGGGAAGAGGATTTGGGGGAAGACCCTCTAATTCAAGGGTCAGCAAGCTAGAGCCTGTGTGCTAAATCTGCTGATTTTCTGGTTTTATAAGTAACATTTTATTGGAACACAGCCACGCCCATTTGTTTATGTGTTGTCTAAGGCTGATTTCACACCTCAACAGAAGTGCTGAGTGGTAGTGACACAGACGGTATGGTCCCCAAAGCCAAAAATATTTACTATCTATCCCTTTACAGATAAAGTATTCCATGAGTGGCTAGGGTAGGGATGCGTTTGGTATATGGATGATGCTTTATTTTGGATTTAGTTCATGTAAGAATGAGGTAGGAATAAGCTCCATTTCTTTGTTTTTCCTTAATCTGAGGAAGAGACCTGAAGAAATCTAAACTATGTGCTTAGTTTTATCCTCATGTACTCATGTAATTTCATCATGTAGAAGAATTGCATTCATTATGTCAGAGAAACGTTGTACAGGCTTCAAATAGGTTGGGCTGCCCCGATACTCTACCTGGATATTCTTATTCAATTATTCATTCATTCAACAAATGAATCCAATATTTATTAAAGCCCTAATAGGGACCAGTCTACTAGGTTTCGGGCACTAGGGATATACTCATAAATAATCCAGGCTCCTGTTCAGAAAGAGCTTATATTTTAGTGGGAACAGCATATAGGCATACACTTATTTGCTTGTTTTCTAACACAATATCAGGAAGTGATACATATTATGAAGAAAAAGCAGGAAAGGTGTCCAACAGTGAATGAGGTGCTTTTTAAGATGGTTAGGAAAGGTGTCTCTAAAAAGATCACATTTGAGCAGAGAGATCAGAATAAAGTAAAGAAGTGAGTCATGCAATTCCTGGTGAGAATGCAGTTCCTGGCAGAGAGAACACAAGGGCTAAAGTTGACTAGCAGGCATGGTTGGGAAAAGGCAAGGTGGAGAGAAAGGGGATGAGTCACGAGAGCTAATGCCGGTAAGGCAGACAGGGGCAAGGTCATATATGGCTTCACAAGCAAGGAATTTTGCTTGTTATTCTAATGACATGAAAACCACTAGCAAATTATGAGGAGGCTGCTGATTTGAAATAATTTACACTTTAGCACCCTCTCTTCTTTATGTAGTAGAGATGACTGTGGTTGATAAAGGAGAAGAACAATTATTATGAAGCGATTGCAACAGTGCAGGCAAGAAATGGCCTGAGTTTTTTGGGCTTAGACGTTACCTGAAACCATGAAAAGACAGTTAAAAGCATTTTTTCTTTTTTTAATCAAAAATGCTTGCAGACTTTCCAAGTCCTCATTATAATTGAATGCTAACTGAGTTCTTACCACATGGAACAGAGATTTGGGAAGAATTCATATATTCATTCAACACACACTGTTCTTTAATATGAAAACAACAGGTGCTATGTGTTTGAGATTAGAAGCTAAAAGAAGGTCAGTTCAGAAAATAATGCACAGCAATCAGTCCTCACACATCAGCTCCCCTTTTTACTTTTTAAAAACTCTTCCCATTCTGACCTCAGCCTCCTCCACTAAGTTCTCTGCAACCATGGGACAACTCTGGGGCCATGGCTACTCCTTGAGGCTGCTATCTTTGAGGTGCTCTTGTCATCTAGAGTTTGAGTATGAAAGGCACAGATTAAAATAGAAAACAATCTATGAGCGACATATGCACATATGTGCGTGCACACACATCTTAAGTCCAATATGCAGTTGCTGAATTTTCTAATCTTCCCTTTCATAAATTTCACCTATCACTATGAATGTGGTTAGGTGATTCTTCAGCCAATTACACTATGGAATTCCTTTAATTCATGTTTTAATTCTGGTAAACTCAACTCTCCCTATTTCTTTCTTATCCTTACATTTTAAGCTTCTAGGTGATATACACTAAAAATTTTAAACAGATTTCCTTGAAGGTCTTTCCCATTGTTTGACATAGAAAGGTATACCTTCTCTTACTAACTCTACAGCTGTGTTGCCATGGATATTGTGAATTCAATATCTGTTCCCAAAGTAATGTTTCTTTCTTTGTCTTAAACAAAGAGCAGTTAACTGATTGAAATCTTCCAAATACAACATGCAAAAGTAGCTGGTTTTCCAAACCAGGAAGACTTAAGCCCTGAGTGAACATTCTGGCATTCAGGAGACTGGTAGCTCTGTTCCTTGTCACATGGGTCGGTCTGAGACTCCAACGGAACCTTTCAATGTCAGCTATAGTTCAGGGCATATAAAAGTAGAGACAAGGGTGTGAATGAACTGGCAGACAGTTCTCAAAGCTAACAATAGAAGTAACCACCTAATATTCCTGAGCATAGAGGTTTTGAATTTAAATTCTGTGCATTCCTAATTGTAACAAAAGAAATTTCAGTGTGGCTTAAAAATTATTAGAGAGTCAAGGAAATAATATGACTATGAAAAGTTTCATGTAGTATATATAAAATAAATATATATCATGTTCTTGATATATTTTTAATTTTGAAAGTGCTCTATGTGTACAACTTAACCATATTTTCTTTAGTGTTACGCTGAAGATAAAAAATAAAATGGGGACTTGGTAATCCTCCCCAAGGTATGGGTGAGCGACAGTGGACTTCCTTTAACACATAAGCAATGCTTAGGAGTGTGCTAGGAAAGCTTGGAAGGGTTAAAGTTTTGTCTGTGACACTGAAATTGAGGCCAGCTGTAGGTCATATTCACGTCCCAGTCACAGGAAAATGAACCTGTGAGACAGAACCTAATTATCTGCTAAACCAAAAGCCAGTCTCAGTTCAATAACTTACGACAGAGCTAGCAGCCAGATATACTGTTACCATGGCAACTTTGGAAAAAGCTCCACTACAGTTGAGAATAAGGAGGAAGGGAAAGAGAGTGTAACCCTAAATGTGCTGTAGCCGTTTGATCTCCGACAAGTGGGTCCACCTAGGAAGCCGGGTTATTCTGTATGTCACTGCCATTGTCTCTTCGCTTTAATATCTGCTACAATTATTGAAAAGGAAAATGCAATTACAATGTCTTCTGGGCTTAAAAACTATTCCACTCTAACGGCTAAATGAAAATTAATTTTAAAGAGAAAAGTATAAACTCTCTCTTTCTCTTCCTTCATGCCACCCCTAAATACAGATAAAGCAGGACACAAAGGGTGAGAATTCTTGAATACTTTATCATTGTCATGAATGAAGGTTGTGCCCATGAAATTCACTGTCAACTCTATTTTCTTCTGCCTTGCAAATGCCAAGATATTTTGAGGAAAACCTTTCAGGAACTGAAGCAATAGTATTTGCTTTCCTAAGGGATCGAAGTAGAACTGGAGAATGGAAAAGACAAAATGTTTTTCTGTGAATTATGCCTAAACTTTCAAGTGAAATAATTGCCTGGGATATTAGGATAAGAAGGATCAAACATTAGAGAAAAGGAAAAGCCCTGTCAGGTTGGTCATTTTTCTTCAGTTCATCTTCGTAGTTCTTTCTGGAATACCACTGGAATTTCAATTTAGATGATGATATGGCTTTATGCACATAAAAACTTCAGAAACCAGTTACCACAAATACTCTGAAAACAGCATCTCACTAAAAATATTAGCAGATAAGAAACAAGAGCTTATCATACAGCCATATGCACTTTGAGGAATAATTCAGAAATATATTCCTCTATTTTTTTTTCATTCCCAACGGAGGCAAATCATGCTAAAGCTTGTCAGTTATAATTATTGGATTTCAACATATTTGACAATTTTGGTATGTCATTAATGATGTAATAAGACGCATGTGGCACATAATGTTATCACTTGGGGTTGCTATCCAGCTGTAATATCAAATTTGAATCATACAGATATCTGTGTATAAATATACAGATATAGCAGCATGTTTCTTTATGTATAACTCATAAACCCATTGGGTTTGGAATAAGGAGAGAAAGGAATATGGAGATGAATAATATCCTTTTCATATGCATGAATAACTTTGCAGTAATGCAAATGAGAAAACACAAAATGGAAAGTAGGTTTCTTCTAGCAGAAATATGACTAAGAACGTAGTCTGAAATTTGCCAATAAATTAGAGTCACTTATGATATCTCTGGATTTTCTTTAAGATGTCACATCTTTTAAAAACACTTTACCCTACCCTATTATATTATATATTCAGTATATAATTATGTAAATATGGAAATCCACAATTTCAGATTCTTTTAAACTGCCATGACGCATGAAAAGGAGCTTTAGGATTGTTGGACAAAAGGTGTGTTGAGGTGTGGGGGCAGAAGAGAAACACCAAAGGGCAAAATGAAATTTCTGATCAATTTTCAGGTAGAAGTAACCTAACCTCTGCTTATGACCCTAACTTAGTTTCAAGTAAATGAAGCCAGAAAGTATACCCCTGTCTAAGATAGATGTTTCTGAGATCAGATTATTAAAGGGCTTACAAAGATGCCAACTAAAACAATGAAGTCCAATACACTCTTTGGATCCTGTTACTCCTAATATAAGTTTTTCTCTTAATCTTTCCACTTACATAAACTAGTTAGGAAAGTAAATGAAGTAATTTTATCAGAATGTCATCTGAAAGAGCTATTGATTCAAAAGCTTTTACGTTTTAGCCTTATCACACGTGATTAGCTTGCAGATATGAGCTTAGTAATGATGCAAAGCACCAAATTTCACTGGATTCTCTGTTCCACATGAACTCTCAGGAAAGATATTAGAAGCACTAACAAAGAAATCACACTTGTTTTTCTCTTGGTGATTTTAGTCAACGATTTTGAAAAGATGTGCCATTACAGTCTTTCTGAACTGTTTCTTTAGCACCATCATCAATTTCCTACGGGCTTGTAGGTAGGTGTGTTTGTGTGTGTCTGTGCTTTGTATTTTTGTTTTTGTTTTGACTCTTGCTCTTTCACTTAAACTGGAGTACAGTGGCACGATCTTGGCTCACTACAATCTCTGCCTCCTGGGTTCAAGCGATTCTCCTGCCTCAGCCTCCCAAGTAGCTGCCATTATAAGGCATGTGCCACTACGCCCAGCTAATTTTTGTATTTTTAGTAGAGTCAGGTTTCGCCATGCTGGCCAGGCTGGTCTCTAACTCCTGACCTCAGGTGATCAGCCTGCCTCAGCCTCCCAAAGTGCTAGTATTCACAGGTGTGAGGTACCATACCAGGCTGCTTTGTTTATTTCTAATTATAATCCTAAAATATTAAGTGAGATCTGTGTGAAGCATATGCTCCAACCAGCATAAAGGTTGTGATATGTTCAATTAACATTAAACAAATACAATAAATTGTAGCTAAAACTAATTCTGCAACTTAAAATAATTCACTTGCCATACGGAAGGTATTTAATGTATTTGTTGTTGACTGAGTGAATGAATAAATGAGTCTATTTGCTAAGGACCAAGGACTTGATTATCTGCATAAAGACAAAGGAAGAAAAATTAAAGTCTGAATGAACCTTAGAAAAACAGAAAAGACTATGCCTTATGCTACTTTTGGATAAGCTATATAAAAAAAAAGATTCCAATTTTCAAGGTTTTTTAATTCACTCACTGAAAAGGAAAAAATCTAGAACAATAGTTATGACTATTATATCTACAATATTAAAATGGACTAGAATATTCTGGAATGTACGATAATTTAGTGTATAATAAGGGTGGAATTACATGTTTCTGATTTTCACTGCCTCCCCTAGAGGTTGCAAAACTAGAAGTGAAATAGGGAATATTTGCCTATATTCAATTATCTCTTCTCTCTCTAGGACATTAGGCTCTTTACTGACACCAGTCTAGAAAGTTTCATGGTGTTCTATGTGATGGATAACTACTTTCAGATCATATCCTAAAGTCTTCTCTATTTGATAGTTAACTATGATAAATTCTATGATCCAGGTCTCTAGGATTAGGCCAATATTTCTGTCCATGCACTTTAGAAATTAAAAGTAAAATCATTTGTTTCTTATTAGCCCATCTCTTCCAAACCAGATCAATTTGTTTAGAGTTCATTATACTCGCTATACGTTTAAAAAATAATCTAACAGGCACTTCAAAAATCTTCTGTTTATTCTATTCCTGATTGCTTCTTCCTTCCCATGAAAGAAATAAATGTCATAGATCAAATGAGCAGAGAAAAACAGAGCAACAGCCTAATGTGAGGAGGTAATTATTTTGGGTTAAGTTTTCCAGATATCATTCCACTATACAGTCAATCACTTGGCTCTGTTAATTCTACCTCCTAAATCTTTCTCTGATCCCTCTTTGCCTTTCTAATCCCACTGCCATCATCTTCATTCAGGCCATTATCATCTGTTCCAATTAATATCCCCAGGGAATCATTACATATAATTGTATGTAAGTGTATTTATCAACATAATACTGTTCATATTGGTGAAAAATAAGGTGGAAGTAAATTCAATGTACACTTGTGGACTGACTGGTTAAATAAATTAGTGTACCAAAAAATAACATAATAAGCATATAGTATTCACTTAGTATATAACAATTGAAAAACAAGTTACAAAAGATTTTTAAAATATCGAGTGCATGTATGTGATGAGGAAAGAGAACATATGAGTTTACATTGTATGATAATAGGAGATATTCTCTGGTGATTAGATTTAATAATTGT